GGGGGGGAGGGCAGACCCCGCTGGAGTCCGACACCTCAGATCAGAGGGGCGTGATCAGTTTTACAGCACACCTTCACGCGCAACACCAGGGACGAGCTGACCGCATGACCAGCTTAACCCGGAGCCCTGCAGACGAGACCCGGAAAACGGGGACAACCCCCGGGGCTCCGGACGACACACGCCGCCCTCAGCTTATCAGGAGCAAAGACATCAATCCAATTATTTTTTTGTGTGTGCACGTACACAAAATTAATTCAAAATAAATAATTCAAAAACTAAACGAAACCAGTGCTCTTAACAGTCCAAAGGCATAAAACCCTCTCTGGCAAGTCTACACTTCACAACATGAAATGGCCATCCTGATCCATCGTCCAGGCAGAGATGGCACAACTGGGCGTACAAAGAAACTCCACTCATGCATGATATAGAGGGGCTCGCTTACCTAAACACATACAGGGAAAAATATTTACAGGGTCTCAAAGCCAGGGGAAAAAAAAAAAAAAAAAAAAAGATCACGGACGGAGACGACAAGAGTTTCATCACAAGAGAAAAACGAGCCAAGCGCAACAGATTAGTAACAAACATCGAATCACGGCCAAACCTTATAACACAACATCTTGTCTGAAGCAGCCAAACTGCGTACAGAATCCCCAGGGTAACACACCCGGCCACACCCTCTGAGCCATAAGAACAGGGAAAGGAGGAGATAACCTCCCCGTTAGAGAAAGACTTGTAAATACCACTGACCGGGAAAAACTCAGGCCTTTAAAATCTGCCTGCATTGCTCCTGAATACCTCTGCCTCAGGCGGAGATGCTAACTCTCATTACTGACTTTACAGACAGACGTGTAAACTCAAACTCGACAGCTCTGATTTCTCGCAGGTTGCAAAAGGACTCGGCCTGCCCTGCTGTGCTCAACCACAGCTGTCACAGTGACCTTAAAGTGCCCAAAAGTACAAAGCACCAGTTTAGAGACTTCCGGTGTCCTGTTCAGATCCTGAAAACACCCATATTTTCTCAGTAAGTTACATACAGAATCCTAAATGGCTTGGCAATGTAATACAACATGTGGTAAAACTGCAGGTGACCTGGGTTACTTATCACCCAGGCCTTTCACCAAAAGAGGTACAACAGAAAAACGCTCCACGACGATGGAAGACCTGAGTTAACACAAGTCAGCTAAGAGGATGCCCAACAGGGAGGCACCCCAGACTCCCACTGCCAAGTCAACAAGACCTTCACAAAGGCATATGAGTAAACTGAGGCCAGGCAGCAGGCAAACAAGAGCTCTCTCACACAACAGCAACAGGAGGACCCATGGAACAGGAAATCTGTGAGTTGAGTTAAGTAATCCAATCTCCAGAGGAATCCTAACTCAGGAGATCAACTTCAGGGTGAAGTGAGGAAGGGAAAAGATATGGCATTAAAATAAAAAAAACTAAAAATGAAAACAAAAAACAAAAAATCACTGACCAGCAAGCCATAGTGCTTTGCTGATAAAAATAAAAAATCTATCCTCTCATTTTGTCAACTCGCCAAATCTCAAAATTTCCCCCAGGTCCAATTTCCTTTTTTTCCTGGATGCCCTGCCTGGTCCTGCAAAATCCCAGGTGAGTTTCCAATCGGGAGCAGACTCCATCCTCATAGGCCGGAGGGGCTGTTGCAGACAGTGGGCCAAATGCTGTGTGAGGCTGCTGGTTACCAAAGGGGCTGGAGCACGATAACGCAAAAGTTCAGAGTCTCTGTGCTGTCACCTTCCCGTTTCTCTCTCTCTCTCTCCCCCCTGTATTTGGTGTTGGTTTTTAGTTTTCTTCTTCGAGGGTAAAACCTTGCTGGAACTACATGAACTGCATCTGAAAAGAAGATAAAACTAAAATTACACGGCAGCAAGCACCTAGCAATCAGAAAGGAAAACACTGCACACAAAATACCCAATGCATACAATTAACTACGCATCTGCTACAGAAGTGTGTCTGGCCAAAAACAGTGGAGGTCTTTGACTCCAGCTTCCACTCCAAGAAACAAGATCAATACAAAACAGAAAAACACC